GTTACCATTTTCAGCATTTCCATTACACTGAGTTTCTAAAGCAGAAGTATTAAATGTTCACATAGTCCTCAAAATTCATCCTGGGTGAAAAACATTCTACTGGTACTACATGGAAATGTAGTTAATCTGCATGTCCCCCATATTAGTGCTTATACCAATGTATTTTGCTCCACCAAAAAATAAATGACCCATTGATCTTTTTCAATGAGACATTGTCTGAAATTTAGAAAGGAACTAAATGATTGGAAAACCTGTGAAATAAAAAATATTTAAATAAAAATATTATTGTTTTCACTAGCAGATGCCCCTGTATCAAAGGAATTGTTCTGGACAATCTGTAGTGTGTGAAAGAGTTGAGCATAAGACTGCCTGTTACAGCAGCATTTTTGTCCCATTTCTGCTATGAGCTACATGACTTTATATCCACAATTGAAATTTCTTCGAAAGCAATCTGCAACAACTTGATGGAAGATCTTTATGAAATGAATATATATTATTAATTTCTCCTGAAATTCTGCAGTTAGTAAAGAAGTTAATTTATCAGCTTTTAAAATCATACTTCTAAATAATGTGTTTTTATCCTGGCCTCCAGTAGTATGTCTGGTTATTCAGCACCATATTGGCAATGTTGCTGTTGGTAGGATGCTTTATATTCTCACAGTGGCATACCTCCCACTGCCCGGCAGATGGAGGCAGAATTTAAGAGAAAATAGAGCCTTAATGCAATGATTATCATTATTTTTGTTGTGGTGGTTTATTCTTAAAGTAGAGCTCCCTCATTCCTATCATTTCCTGTAGGGCAAAAAGAAAAAACAACAACAAACCAAAAAAACTTACATAAAAATATAATGAGTTGTTAAGGAAAACCAGTAAGTTAAATAGGTTTCAGTGTATTTTAGTAACAATGTTTTTACCATGGTCCCCAATATGTCATAACAGCATATTTTCCTGACCACAGGTTGTCATATATTGGTAGCATGTCTCCCACAGAAGCTTACAGCTCTGTTACTCTGATTCCTGCTTGACATTTTCAGGTTGATTTTTGTCTTCTTAATTTCCGTCCCTCTTCTGGAATTTGCGAACTTGTTCTTTGGGGAAAAAAAAAAAAATCTAAAGAAATAAAGCTCCTCAAAGCCATTTTTCACTGGGGATAGGGACTGAAAAAAGATACAATGAGTATTTAGAAATCATGGATTGCACTTCAAGAAGCATTATTTTCAGTAGGTGATTCTCCACTATTATTATAAGATAACATCTCAGGATTTGGTAATGACTGTGGAGGCAGTGTTCTCACAGGAGAATGGATAATTGGTACATACATTTTGAATAATCCTGAAAGATACAGCAAGGCCATGAGAGGCCCAAGGAAGCCTAAACAAGCAAGATAAGAAGAAGCTGGAATTCACTGAGTTAATGAGAACTGTGGACTGTTGGCAAGCTTTCGAGGTCAAGTTCTCACACCTGTGCTTAACCAATTATATGTTAGTCACTAAGGGTCTTCAAGACATGTATCCAATCATAATATGCCAAATCACTGTAAGTGCATGTAAGAAACAGTATTTAAGGGGTTAAGGCTTTGTAATAAATGGCTTTTGTCTGATCATACTGATCTCTGACTGAGTCCATATATTTTCTGCGGCACATGACTGTGAGCCAAAACTAATTGGGCTTAAAGAATGTCTTGTTTAAATAAAAAAAAAAAAAATTTTTTTTGGGGGGAATTCCTATATCAGCGTTAATGAGCCTCTAGATTGACAGTAGCTAATTCCTCCTACAAAGATCTCTGTTGTAAGTGCTTCCATCAGCAGACATAATAATGAATGCACCCTCATAGGAACTGAATGGATTATCTTTGAGATAGCCCAATTCAATTAGGATTGAAAGCTATGTCATAGACATGATGAATTTTTCCTTGTGCATCTGCTGTCTGTATCTTCTTTATTTTATTATTCCAGAGTGAAAGGAAAGAAAGCAAATAAAATACATGCAAGTAAGGGCTAGAAACAAGAAGTGAAGAATTAAAGTTTTACTGAGAGAGAAGAGATATGATGAATAGGTGGGAAGAGAATTTTTTAAGGCACTGGAACAAAGGCACTAATTAATAGGGCATTCGGTTCAAATAGCAATTGTACTCTTTTTTGCTGATTTTGTGACAAAGAGCTTTTTGCTACAAAAATGAAACTGGTCAAATATGATTACCATAATGTGGCTACACAGTGGCTATAAGGCTACTATAATAAGGGTAGTTTCTCTTTCTTTGTGTTATATTGGATTCGAAAGATCTTTTAAGTCATTAACAAAGAGTCTTGAGTTGATTTATACAGGAATATAAAGTGTCCACTTATCCCCATGGGACCTAATAATAAATTAAACAGATGTAGGACACAGGTACAGGCATTTAAGAGCCAAAAGTGAAGCATTAGGCTGGTCAAGGATTAGCCAATTGTGAAGAAGAAAGCATTTTTTGATGATCCACTCAAGCGTAATAGCCATCAGAGCAATAAAGGAAACAAGACCAATTGAGAGACAGGTATTAGCTAACCTTGTCAGACCCCAGAAAAGCACACGAACCTCAGCTGAATAATGGGCAGGTTCGTGTTCTCTTGGCACTTGCACTAAGATTTTGAGCAAGTCACTTGCTTGCCATATACCTTTCCTTACAACATACCTTAACTAATGTTTTTTATGATCTTGGGGTTAATGAATAGCAGACAAATGTTAGCAATGGAATTTCTTGTGATGATTTTCTAAAAAAAAAATTACTCTGGGCTTCACCAAATGCACCATTTCTCTATATTCTGCAATAGGAAATTTGTACAGATGTGGATATTTTTTTAGATCTTTAACTTCTGTAATGTGTTCCATCTATGCTAGTAATACTATCTTTGCTAGCGTCTACTGAAAAAGATGGGAAGGACTGCTTGGTTTGTATTTCTAATAGGAACTGGGGAGGTGATAAAATAAAGTCCAAATATGTTGAATATGCTGATCATATCATCCATGATAATGAAGGTGTGTTCCTGATTTTGGTATCATGTATCTGAAATGACAGACTGCGAAATAACTGAAATAACTAAATTATGCACCTGTTTCTTAGATTAATACTCAAAAATTAGGTGAATCACTTAAAACCTGGATATTACACCCCCTTGTCCTGGGGAAAGGGCTTGTGTGCCCTTGTGAGGTTGGGAGCTATGCTGGTGGTGGCATATGTCTCCGGTAGGTTCTCCCATGCCAGACAGGTCTCAACGAAGGGTCAGACAAAATGTGTCCATGGGCAGGATGGGCTCACTAGCCTTCGGGCAGCCATCTTAGGAGAAGGACAACTCTAACTTCAAACCCGGGCAGATGGAGCTCGTTTAGCCCTGTAAGGCCATCCATCTAAGAGAAGGACACTAATCAAACCTACAACCTGAGGACTTTGCTGTCACTGTCCAAGCTAGCTAGGCCCTGGCAGATAAACCTCAGGTGTAAAGGGTGGGGCCAGCTCTGCGCACGCTGTGCCTCACCTAAAAAATACACTGCGCAGGCCCAAAGGGTTTACCCACACTTGCAAAGCATAGTGATACCCACCTATACCGCCCAAGGAGACCTTTCGTTGTGCTTTTTGCAACCAGATTTGCCTATCCCACATTGGCCTTTTTAGCCATCAGTGCACTTGTAGTAAGCGTGGGTAAAGCCCTTCCCAAATCTTCGTTTGCGAAGCCAAGCCATGATGATGATGATGATTGTTACATATTACATCCATATACCAATATATTTATATAGTAGGTGAAATCTTCATAAGTTTATAGATGGACTTCTTGAATAACGCAAACCTGTGACTTGACACTGTATATAATTCTTGAATCACAGCCATAGGTTTTAGCCATCTAGTCTTTGTTTAAAGACTTCAAGTCATGGAGACTCTACTTATAATCCTTAATAAGTTGTTTAAATGGTTAATAAATCTGAGTTTAAAATGCCATGCCTTTTTTCAACTTTCTAGATTCAGAGCCTATGTATTGAGTAACAATTGGTTAAGAGTCATACTATGAACACACATACCCCTCCATGCAAAAGGCATTCACCATAGCAAGATTTGCAGTAAAAATTTCTTGATGGATGATTTCAAATTTTCAATGATTCTTAGTGTATGCTACTTCTGAGAAACTTACTGACACTATTAAATATTTGAAATGTAGAATATGAAGTTAATTAGTTGATGTAATTAGTAAAGAGAAATACTGCCAGGTAAACAGATTCCAAATATTACACCAGAAATTATTCATAGGAAGTGTGCAACAAGTATTAGTTTTCAAAAGAAATTGATGGTGTGAATAATTTTATTATTATTATTATATTGTGGAATGTAAAACTTCTTTTATTGCTTTTGTTCAGTATTTCCATAACAGTTCATTTCTTCCAGAAGCATTCCTTTAAGTATACTCATTTATTGAACTTTTGGGGAAGAGCCAACAGAGAAGTTTCAAAACAAATTCCATTCTTCGATGTATTCATCTAGCTGTAAAAAGCTTAAAAAGAAAGTCTAGCCAAGTCACTGAGATCATGTGCTTCTGAGTGCTTTCCTGTTCAGCTAAAAAATACTGATTTACATCAAACAAGATTTTTGTCCTTTTTTTCTTGTTCGCTTTGGCTTTCTCTCTACTATGTTACTTTGTTGGGTATTTTTTAGCAGATTTCTCGTTATTTTATTACCTTTAACATGTGACTTCTAGTCTGAGTGATTGTGTTTTGCTGGGTCAGTTATGCTTTCTGTATACCTCTGGAACCTGAGAGATTTAGACTGTGATTCAGGAAAGTGCTAGAGTATATAGCTGAATATGATGCTGAGAGCAATTTCCTGGATCAGAACAGTAAAAGGGAATGGATGTTCCTTTGTTATTTTTGGTCTGTTTTTATTTCAGAACTGTTGTGTTAGGCACAGAATTATTGTCGTCTTCTTATGTTGCAATTTAGTCTTGATAACTGCAACTTCTCAGAAACATTCCTACACAGTGACTCATAGCAGATGTAAGCCTCAACTCTACAGAATTTAATAGCAAAAACAACCACAGCCTGGGAAGGGCTGTAGAATTATTTGCATCAGCTTGAGAAGATTTATCAACTTTGAGTTCTGTCCAGAGGGAAAAGGTAAACATTTTAGGTACTTAGGGGCAGGTAGGAGGAAGGTAGAATAAAATCTGGGGAAACTGCTGTAGTTACAGTTTAAAAGTAGTGTGTTTTTGAAGACCATATAACTTTTGCAATGTTGCTAACGACATATGAATGTTTTAGCAGGTTCTAGCTATTTTGCTACGATATCTAGTTAGTAAACCTCATACTAAAATCTGTAGTTTTAAAAGTTATAGTAATGTTTGCGTGTATGAACAAGGCTGCTGTTGAAGCCTAAAAGTAGATCAAATCATGATTTGAATTTAGGGGGGATATGAAGATAGGATTATCCGAGTAGCCTGTAAAGAAAGCCCGGGCATAGAGAAAGAAAAAGGTACCTTTCTAGAATTTTTATTCCATAGCTTTGGAGAAATCTTTCTGCACAGCTGTGCAAGTGCACATTCCAGGTGTAATCTTTGAATAGTAAATGATAGTAAATGGATAGAATTTCAAGGTTTCACAAGAGTTGTCCTTAAACTTCAATACTATTAAAACAGAAAGGGATTCCTAACTGCAAAGGGCTTGTGTTTTCAGCCTGAAAATATTACAATAAGTTTATCTCGCTCTACGATGATGTGTGATAATTAATCCAGATGTCTACTGTCTGAGAGGAAGATTTACCTGGAAAGGGTTCTATTCTGCACAGGTTTTGTTTTGTTAAACCAACACAGGTGTTATTACAAAAGTCTTGGAAGTCTCTCAGGACTTATTAACTCTTTGGGTTCCTAGCATCAACAACACACAAATATTTGCTAAATTAAACAATTGTATTCACCTGTGACATGGATTAAGATATATAATTATTTTGCAGTTTTGGGGGTGAATGCTTTTATTGCTTTGTGTGTGAATATCAGCGGCTGCATTCTCTCCCTACTTTAATCTTTCTTTGAACAGAACTTCAGATTTATATATTACCAAAGAGCATGGATGTACACTCTCAGAGAACTGTCTTTTCAGAAACTTTTAGTAGAAATGTGGAAAACTAAGTAAACAGTTACCCATGTTGATTCAAGACTGAACCTGTTGATTCAGTTAGTATATGCAAAGCGTTTTGAACATATATGGGGCTTGACCCTATTTATCACTTTTATTATCACTGTAGGGTTGACCACTCAGTGAATCTCATGTCACTGCAACTGTGGGATCAGATAAACTCTGGGAGTTTATACCTCCTGAGAAACTGGCTCAAAGGTACTGTCCTCTACCTTACCGGGTCTCTCTGCTGGGCAGTCACAAAAGCAGAGAAACATTGTTAGGTCAGCCACTTCCTTTCAGAGCTTGAATTTTCATGTCTCCTCCAACTCTTCTTGACCTTTCTTCTCTTTTGGGGGGACAATGGCACAAATATTTTGGTCCCCCCAATCTTTGTTTCTACTGAACCCAGGACACAGGTCCACTCTGGAGTTTTCAGTGTTCTTTCTGTTTCAGTGTCATCCGTGTTTTTGACATAGAGGTTTGCCAAATTGAACTCTTGGTTACTCCTTTCTATGCCTCTTAATTCTCTTATGATCATAGTGAACTCATATTTTGAGGGACTACAGGATCAATAATTTATCTTGAGTTTACTGTTCGACTTACTTATTTTCTTAGAAATTAAACTCCAGGATTAAAATATATACAGCAACGTATTTAAATAATCACATTTAGAATTTTATTTGTGAGACTTATGAGCATATCTTAGTTCAGGGCTAGAGCTGATACATGTGAAGTTGTCTCCCAAGTCTAGCCCTCCTGAAGTTCACCACAAAAGGATCATGCTTTAGAAAGAGGCAGCCTTTAAATAGAAAAGTGACTTCATCTGAAGATGACAAACCAAACCAACTGTACACACTCTACACTTCTCACTCTACCCTGTGTTCCTTTTGTGCAGCTTGCTCGTAGTAGTTCATAGATGCTGCAAGGGATGTGATCTGCCTTGATTGTGACAGATAGTCTTCTATTTATATTATTTTTTTACTCAGATAAATTTCACTGAACCGTATTCAAGATTCACTTGCTAGTCTATTTAAAAAAAAAAGTATACTCTAGTTGTAAAGCTGTGCAAACCTTTTATGACTAATTGTGGTATTCAGACACTCGGTCAGTGAAATCATGATAACACAGTTTGAATATTAAGACTAATGTGAGGGAGACAGGGGGCTTTTGTAATGAAAATAACAGAGAATGAAGCAGAACAGTTAAATATTACTCCTCCAGTGAAAAAAAAAATATTGTCCCCTCTCTCTTAGAAAACATATTTAGATATGCATGGAGTTGGGACAGTGATTATCAGATATAGACCATTTCCAGGTTGTCCGGGTAGCTGATGTACTCTTCAGTCGCTCCTCTCACTGACAGTGTCATTACAACAGATGGCAACAGCCGCTTTCAAAACGGTGGTGGCTGCATTACCCGTAATTAGTACTGTTGCAGTACTGTTGCAATACTGTTGTAAGGTGAAAGCACATATTTTATCATGACAGAAACCTCCAAAACCTAAATTAATAACAGAATACAATGCCTGACAATTCTTGCAGATCCTGACCCACATCATTTTTTAAGCCAGAAATTCATCGGATTCACCACTTCAAACAGTAGCAGAATTTGTTGCATTCAGTTATGGTAAAGCTTCTAATTCAAATGATAAAACATTTATTTGGTTAGCATAAAGAACAACTTACAACCCAAAACCCATAAATTTTATGTCACAGGAATAACTTAGTTTAAGGTTTTCAGTTCACACTTTATAAACAAGAAACATTTTATAGGTAATTTTTAATGGCTTCCTTCAGAATCCTTAGTAATAGACATCTGCTTAGTACAGTGCTTTGCAGCTTAATGGTAGATGTTGCATATGTCCAAAATGCTTAGAAAACCCATCTGAAGCTGTCTGTAACATGAGTCAGTGCATACAGAGTATGCAACAACATACCTTGTGTCTGCATCAGTCCAGTGCAAGAGGTGGTATAACAAGCTTTATACAGATATACTTGGGCCTCACAACTCTATGCTTTCATATATGATGTTTTCAAACCAGCAAAACTCAAAAGTAAAAATAAAACACATGTTGCTCTACTTATATAAGTGCAATTTAAAAAAACACTCCTAGTATTTTATTAGTAGGTGTTGAAAACCTGAAATTAGGCTGCTCTGTAATTTGTACACTTGCGGGAGTTTTTCAGAGGTTGGTGAAAATAAAACTGGACTTATCGCAGAATCATAGAATGGTTTGGGTTGGAAAGGACCTTAGAATCATCTACTTCCACCCCCCCTGCTGTGAGCAGGGACACCTCACACTAGACTAATTCTATAGGAACTTAAAAATATACTTCACATAAGCACCTTGCTTGTCTTTGTACAGTAAAAAGCAGAGTCTGCTGAAGTTCCACCGGTGTTTTATATTAATTCCTGTAGAAACATGAATGGTAATTTCCATAAAGTTTATGTTTCAATATGCACATACTGGCATTGAATCGTTAATCTCTATTAAAGGTCTTATGCTTTGTCTAACCACAAATGTTTTAACATGTAGTTAGTGGATTCAGTTTAGTAAGTAGAAAAAGCAGAGTGGACACATATTTTTGGTTTAAAATGGTGTTGGCATATACTAAATGAAAATACTGTAAGTTAAAAAGAAAACCCCAAACATTCCTCAGTTGATAGCTTGCAGCAGTTTACCTAATCAATTTAGAATTGGTTCATGTATAGTATATGTAAATATTTTAGTGATTGGAGGCCTTGGCTTCTCATCTGTGAGATGAAAAGCACTCATCTACCTTACAGAAAATTGTGATATTATATCAGTTAATGTTTGCAAGGCAGTAAGTTACAATGGTGATTTTTTGGTCACATAAAATAATTTTCATATGAAATAATGGGATTTAAAATGCTGCGGGTTATACAGTACAAAATATGCATAGCTGTCAGTTGAAAGATGTTAGAATTAAAGCTAGTAACTATTACTCATTTTCCCCAAAACTGCTCTTTAACAGTAAAATTTCCATCCTTTCTTGGCACACAAAAGTTGCACAAAACTTTAGTTCAAGTACAGTTAGCCCAATTCAACTTTTAATTACTTGAATATAACAGAGAACTTCCTCACAATTTCAAAGGACCAACAAGGAATATTGCCCTGCTTTTCAGAGCATTTTAAAATGCTATTTTTTTAATCTCATTTAATAATAAAATGCATGGGTTTGAATCTTGAATAGATGCCCTAAAATATATGGGGAGCTCTGCTACAAAATAGCCTAAAAGGATAAATTGTTTTTACTGAAAATTTTGGAGTTCTACTTAATGAGGCTATTTTCAACATTTATAATGAAGCCTAAGTAAACATATTTACAACATGTAAGAAAATAATTATTTCAAATAAAATATAGATGTCCAGTGTAAATATTCAATTTTAATGTGTAAGTTAACTAGTATTTCCTTTGTTCCTCTACTTCACAGCTTCCGAAGAATGAAGATATTGATAATGATTGATTTTGTCCTTGCAGCTAACTTCATGGATGCCACTGGCAGTTCTGTAAGTTCCAGTAATTAAATTTGCCTATAGAGTTTCTTCTAGATCTTTCATACCTTGTCCTCCATAGTGCTTACAATGTATCTCAGCTACATGAGATGGTAGAACCTTTGGTGAAAAAGATTAGAATTCAGACCAAAACAGAAAGACTGGAGAAATAACCTCAGATGGTGTTCAGTGGAGACAAGTTTCTAGTAAGGAAAGAGGAAACAAATGCACAAATATACAGTGGAAGATAAATGACTGGGTAGTAGCACTGAAGAAAATAAGCTAGTCAGTTTGTTATGGGATCCAGCATGAATTAGAAGGCAATGGAATATCTTTGCTAAAAAAGGTATCATATGATGCATTAACAGGTATATCATATAAGGGCAATGGAATATCTTTGCTAAAAAAGGTATCATATGATGCATTAACAGGTATATCATATAAGGCACACAAGAGAGTTATACTACCACTCGTGGGTAATGGTAATTCAAAATAACACCTTTAGTTTTGAGCAGTATACTTACAGGAAGGCAGAACCCAGGAACTCCTAAAGCGGTGGCTGCAGCAGTAGTATTTCTGGTAATTGATGCACAGGATGAAGAATGTTTCTATCTTTTCCACTTGCCATACAACTTTTTCTCAAGATCCACAGCTTCATATTCTTACTTGTTCCCATGTTAATATGTTATAATTCACACTGAGAAACAACAATCAAAACACCTTCACATCTAGCTCTCAAAACCTTCTGCTATGGATTCTGATCTCCAACAAAAACCCTAACACAATCCCACTTACTCCACTGCTTAAAATCCTTCTAACCTCACCAGTCCTGTACTGTCTGTCTTGGCTGTCTTTCCTAGTTTGGTATTCTGTTCCTAGCTAGTAGGGACCTGGGAGATTGAATTGTTGATTCATAATTGCCTAGGTGGAAGTGGTGGCTGAATTTACAACTAGGTGAGCATCATTGTGTCTTACATTATCTTATGGAAGCACTTTGTTCAGGTAAGTATCTCTATAGTGGCAGAATAGGAAACACCTGCCTCTAATCACTCCTGCTCAGTGGAGAAAAACATTACTAAATTTTATAGAAGCCTATTATGAAAAAGGCATTGCAATGAAATGCATTTGCTTGCTTTTAATTTTTCATTTGAAATGTTCTGAGCTTTTGCTGGCCCTATGACTAAAAACTGGGAATAATCTGAAGTTTACCTCTTAAGTTTTCACATTGTAATCTCACTGAAACACTAATCTCAATAGAGATTTTTTGGACCTCATTTAAATTCTAAAAATGTAAGAAATAAATCTTCAAGTAAAAAAAAAAAATAGTTTTCATAAAGTATTCTGAGTGTAATTTATAGCATCAATTTTAATGCAAGGTCACTAGCTGCTAAATAATTCACACAATAATGAAATAAAATTGTGAATCCACATTAATTACAGCAGCTGGTTAAATATGTCCAAGAATAGAGCTGTCAGCAGTTGTTGGATAATTGCTTCTCAATGTGTAGTACAATCAGTTGCTTCACTGAAACAGAACAGGTTATGTTCAGTCTGGTTTCAGTCAGTGGGCACTACTGTCCACTGGGGACAGCAACAATGAAATTCCCATTTTATTGAGTATTTCAATATTGTACTAGTTTAACTTTGGTTCATATCTAACAAAAGGAAGAGCAGTATGTTACAGGTGCTGACTCTCATAACCCTAAGATATGTTTTGCTTTAATATTACTCTAGCTGTGCACTGGTTTAGCTCCAATGACTTTAAAAGAGTTATCCTGAGAAAAAGTGTATTAGTACATTAAAAGAACAGTCTGGTAGCCTGCAGACTGCAGATCAAGCCGCATTGTTCCACCCTGAAGGTACACAGCTAACTTGTGATTGTCCCATGGGAAAAATAGGTGTGGAATTCCAAATACAAGAATTGTGGTTTTGCTGTGCCACAAAGTATAATGGGATTTTTCTGGAGCTGACAGAGAGATAAATGGGGAGGTTGAAGTCAGGGAGAGAAAGCAAAGTACTAGATGGCAGTGCTTTTCCTATGTAGGTTAGTTTCAAAATGCTTTTTCTGTTCAGTCATTCCTTTCTTATAGCGTAGCTATTCAGTATGGTTGGTGATTTTTTGATTGTCACTTACTATTTACCAGCACTGTAAGCTTAAATTCTTTTCATCAGGAAATCGTTCTGTGTAATGTAGCTATATTACTGTTCACCATGTGTCTTGTCTGTGAAGTAGATGAGAATCAGCTCAGTGACACTTTTTCATTTTCATGAATTAATTCACAATTCACAGTAAGTAAAGAAAAAAGAAAAAAAAGAGATCAATTTAAAATTTAATAATAATATTTAGAGACATAGCCTGTTGCAGACTTGTTTTTTATGTGGCTCAGAGGAAAGGACCTTTTATAGTGGTATATGAAGTAGTATCATACTGAGTTTAGAGAGCAAGTTTTCCTAAGGTACAATAGTAGCTTTTGAGAAGTTCTGTGCTTCTGCTATATAATTTAATCACAGCAGGAAAAATGACTTTTAGCAGTATGAAAGGGTGAATTGATAGATGCTTTTCACTTACACCTGAAAGAAACACACTTACCTGTATGTAGCTGCTCCTGAAACGCTCAGGCTCGTGCTCTCTCCAAACTGAGCTCTTTGTGGCTCAGACCTTGCCATGTGTTAAAGAGATTACTCACCTGAAGTTTTGCCTATGAAATTTCAAGGGCTTGGTGACATGGGCCACCATTTCCAGGGTCACACAATTCTTTCCTATTGTATTTTACCATGTTCTCCAAAGTTGCAAGTCCTGAGTTAAGACTGATACAGGCTAACCTTCTCCATAAACAGTGCAGTAAGACTAGTACGTGTGGCATGATGGCTTCTTTAGCAATCTTAATTTTATATTATTAGAAATACTATTTGATCGGACTGTTAACATGGGATTTTTGACAGCTTTACTTCTATAGTTAGCATTAGCTCATCAGTGTGATCCTGGAATTTTTTTTTTTACTAGTATTTACTCACTTTTTCTCAACCTGCCTGTGCAGCTCTCCAGTTCTCCATAGTTTTATGCATGCACTTGGGACTAGTCAGAGAATTTGCAGAGACCTGTCAATGAAGCCTCTTCTAATTTCCCAGTTCAACTCAGCTTTTGTGAAGGGTTTATGTGAAGTTGCAGGTACAAGTTGAGACAAACACTCTGGAAAGACTATATAATACTGCATCTTTCTTTGTAATATGCAACATGTCACACATTAACCAGTGCCGATGGTCAAATAGCATTCCTCTAAGCCACTATAGCAGGTTTGTCTCTGTATGTGCATATATAAGTACTTTCTTCTCTCGCTTCCTGCCAGAAGAAAAGGAGGGTATGCTAGGGATCTAGTATATCTATCAACAACTGGAAAAGATTTTCAAGGGAGTATTCTTAAATAAGATAGGACTCGAGGGATATTAGGTCATTGCCTGCATTGTTTATTCTTGTAAAGATGCTAGTGTTTGGTAAACGTGCCTCTTATTTCACAGCGCCTCCTTGTGGCTTCTCAGGAACTAGTAGCAAGCAGTTGGAGTCTGCGGACAAACCTCTTGTCAAAGCAGCCTAACATGGGCAGCACAAACCCAGGGAGGCAGTTGAGCTTTTCTTCTCAAACAGGCCATTGACAAACTGCTTAGTTCTTCCACGTATATTCCCCATTCTTTTATTCCACCGTGTCTTAGCTTGCAGCTAAGTATGAATTAAAGCAAGCATCTGATAGACTTCAGAAATACTTATAGCAGAGGCCTGTATTCAGGATTGTTATGCAAAGCCCAATCATCAAAATTTTCAGTGTGACTATATATTATAAGCAAATGGAACGTGATGGTTAGGAACCATTTTACTCATGGACATAGATTATTTAATCTTAAATTTTTTTCTAGTTCCTTTGTCTATTTGATGGAAGTGAATTGCATCCTCTCTAGTGAAAAAGCAAAGGGGTCTGCAATAATTACTTCTATCAGAAATAACCATAGTCATGACAGAGTTTATATGGATGTTTCTTGACAGTAGCAGAAGTTCCTATGCTTCTTCACTAGTACCATAAATGAATTATGAAAAAAATCTGCATGTGTTAGAGTTATAAAATCCAGATTCTATTAGATGTTAGTTTAATTCAGAAAGTTTTCCCTTGGAGTTGTGGTGAATGGTACCACAAGGAAGTCAACCTAACCAGAACCGTGTTTGTGCTGCACAGAAACTTACAGAATGGTATCTGTTTTTCAGATAGAAGAAAAAACAATCACTGCAGCAAGAAAGTGACACAAAACATTTTGGTGGGAGTGTTCATGGAAAATAGGTGAAGCCTGAGCTTGATGCAAACGGAAGTATGCAGATACCACTGGAGGTGCATGTCAGTATGCTACTTCAGGTCTTGCTAGTTCAGTGTCATAGGGCAATGGTCTAAGATATCAGCTTTTCTGTATGAATGGAAAATGTTACAGGTCTACATCCTTAGCTCATGTAAATAATGTTGCCCTATGAATAAGGTTGTACCAATTTAGACCTACTGCATACTTGATCTTGCATATCAGATTTCCAAAAGGTTGATCTCTGATTTTGCTTTTAAAGTGCTAGTTGTGCTCTTGTGCAAGCACTGTAGCTACTAAACTCAAGTTTGCTCATATAAAATTGCAGACACAATGCCACCGATACAAAACCTCATGGCACATTTGTACAATGTGTCATAAAACTCCAAAGGCTTTTTTCTCTATGTTGAAATCAAATTTGTGTAGCATCTATTTGAAGCTGTGCAGGCTATTTTAATTTAAGCTCCCTAGATCGGGTTCTGTTCACTTTGGCTGTTTTACCATAGTCATTAATCTAAACCAAATTATTGCTCTGTGTACAATCAGCATGTCAGCATTTGAAAGAGTTATTCCACCTCTCTTGTCATGTATCTGTATTTGCACTAGGGTAAAATGAGTGCTAGATGTCACCATATAAGAATCACCACATTTCTCTTCCACTCTGCATGGAAAAATTAAGTGTACAAGTCACAGACAATAGGGATTTTATTTTTTACATTTCATATGTATTTGTAGCTTCTTAGGGACTATTTCTTTTATCATGCCAAAAAAATGAGCTTGAAACTGTACAGTGTTTATGTTGGCAATGTTAAGATTTTTATCATAAGAAGTGTGTAATCTAAAAGCATTTGAAAAATGCACAATGAAGTTGGAAATGTGTGTGGACTATATTTCTTTAAAACTCTGGAATTTTAGAACCTTCAATGTTAGTAGCAAGGCCTCACTGAATAGTAAATCTCTGTATATGGCAGGCAATAGAAAATAAGCAATCTTTATGGTGGGGTCTATACTATAGTGCTTTTCCCTAAAGTCCCCGCTTCATGTTTGCAGTGAGAGCTGGTAATTATAGCTATTAAAGAGAAGGTTTCTCTTTGCAAAGCAGGTATATGTTTGGGCACTGTAATACACAAAATAATATTAAATAGAGGTAGCAATTGAGGCAGAAGACAACAGTGTCTGTAGGAAATTGCGAGCAAATGTTTTATTCAAGTTAAATTTTATTTATGGGTTGTTTTTTTGTTTGTTTTTGTGTCACATGTTAAATGTAACAAAAATTCTTGATTTTACAAGAAGATATGTTTTCCTGTCTAGGATCTACAGAACTGTTTTCAAGAGCAGATACGACTTCAGGGCCAAGTTAGGCTTCTGGAACATCGTGTGAAACAGCAGGAGTTAAAAATTATACGGCTTTTAGAGAAGAAAGAGATTCAGTACAGTGACAGAGGAGATGAAAAGAGTGTCATTGACTTGGGAGGAAAAAGACAGTATTCAGGTTAGAAATGAAGCTATTCTTTTCATTTCCATTCATTGTAATGATACTCAGAAGCTTTAGCACAATTGGGCCCATTGACTTACTGTTTCAAAAGCTCATAGAAAATTGTTTGTTTAAAACAGTGTTCAGCTTTTACTCAGGCCTGCTGCCACAGGGAAAAATTGTTACTGTCACATGGTATAAATTAAATCAGGATTTAAGTGGTTTATCCATTTGCTAATAACATATAATTCAAAAACAACCAGTAAATAATAAGTTGAGAACAAATATCGGCAATTCAACAGATAAAAGCCAACAACAGATATATATGAAATGTTAACATACAGTTACAGATTTCTAAACACCCCTTGACTAATCTCCAGAACTTCTAACCCACAGGGTCAGTTCATATTCACACATTCACAGCATGACATGGGTTAAAAGTACACCCTGACTCTGTTCCAACCTCTAAAGTCCCTGTGACATCCTAACACACGCAAGCCTGTCATAATGACATCTCCATCTTGCTTTAGTAATATTCTGTATGTTGCACCATTTTGACTGAGTTAAGTTCAGGTCAGGACATCACAGGTTTTAAGTTGTTTTTGTAATCTCACCAGCATTCTGGTGGTGATCCGGTCCCTCTACAGTGGAAGCAGGCTAAGTGTGTTAGCTCCTAGGAGCTGGAGTGAGGCCCAATCTCTTAAAATAATAAAATACCATACAAACCAATGGTTTGATTGAAAATACAATTTGGGGGGTGGATTCTTGGATGGTATGTTTCTAGTTGTCCAGTGCTAGAAAGCCTAAACTTCCATGATTAATTTAATAGCCTTGTTTGAACATACTTGTAAGTGTTTATGCTGGTGGGAGAAATCACAAGATATAACAAGGCATCAAATTTAAGAAAGCAGCATTAAAATGAAATTGAAAGCAGTTATAAGTCTGACTTTAAATTTTAGCTGTATATTTATTTATATTCAGCACCCTGGAATTCTTTCTTTTGTTATTATGGCTGACTCATTTGCTAGTGGAAAAGATTATTAAAACCACATTTAGGTGAAAGGTATTTGTCCTTTCTTAGCATTTGCTTCAGTTTATTTTCTTAAGATGTGATTCTAAATAACAGATCTAATTTGTTCCAGTTTCTGTTGTGGGGTTGTTTTTTTCTCAAGTTTTTCACTTTCCCTGTTGGTACTGTAGTATTTAATTCGAACTGCTGTAGCATTTTAATGTCGACAGAGCTGGGTAATTTGAAGTTAGATAATAAGGGAGAAATTCCACACTATATACACCTGCTAAAGAATAAAATACTCTCAAGTGTTTTTCTAATCTACAAGAAAATAATGGACAGGAAAAGCTGTTTTTTATAAACCAATCAAACATTATCTAGAAAGACAACTTAGCTATCATTTAAATTCTGTTTTCCATTAAAATTTATTCAAATCCTAGCACAGCTGTTTGTTTTCAATATGAAGTGTTTATTTTCTATGTCTAATCTTCACTGACATTTTCACTGAGAAGAAATATAATAGTTCAGAAAGTTCCAAACTGGCCTGGAAGTTCAGCCAACATGCTCATAAGTGTTTCAGGGAAAATCTTACAGTTATTCAGCCCTACCTTTGCCAGGAAAAACAGAAATATTGAAAATGATACATCTTTCCTGTATGACTGCTTGACGGTAGATTACATATAAACAAAGAACTCCTTTCATTTCTTGACTCCTAGAGGAAAAAAATATAAGATTATAAAATTACATTGCTGTTATATTTTCATGAGCTCTGAATTTTGTCATTGCTGTAAATGCTGGTTAGCCACTAACACCAATGCAGACCATACTGTCAATGGTATCAAGCCAAAGTGGTATCGTTTTACACATATATAGCATTTTTTAGAGTCATAGAATAGTTAGGTTTGGAAAGGACCTTAAGATCATCTAGTTCCAACCCCCCTGCCATGGGCAGGGACACCTCACACTAACCCATGTCACCCAAGGCTCTGTCCAACTTGACCTGGAACACCACCAGGGATGGAGCATTCACAACTTCCCTGGGCAACCCATTCCAGTGCGTCACCACCCTCACAGTAAAGAATTTCCTCCTTATATCCAATCTAAACTTCCCCTGTTTAAGTTTTAACCCATTACCCCTTGTCCTATCACTACAGTTCTCCTGTGGACTTTCTGGAAATAGAAGTATGTGTTTGTTTTTAAAGGTTACTGTGTGTTTTATATGTAAATTATATGATTGTAACAGGATTCTAATGTGGATGATACCATTGTAAATTAAAAGTGACACCACTTAAACCAGAGGAATGATTTTGCCAGTCAGATACAAATAAGAATGATATTTTATGTTAGAAAAAGATTCTTTTAAAGAAATGCCAAAATAATTACAGCTCAGTAAAGGTTTAAACCAACACAAATACAAGAAAATGCCCAGAAGTCATAAAAATATGTTTGCAGGAATATTTCCTTTGTAATAGCTTGGTTTATATGTGACTCTTACATGACATGACTTGATTTCTGATTTTGCCAGTAAGCATAGGACTAAAAAACCTGTGTCCAATGAATGTTTTGTGAGCAGATTGTGCAGAAATCTACAATGATGGCCATAAGCAAAGTGGATTTTATAAGATGAAACCTATCCAGAGTCCTACTGAATTCCTTGCCTTCTGTGACATGTCTGAAGGGGGTGGTTGGACTGTTTTTCAGAGACGTTCTGATGGCAGCCAGAATTTTGATAGGTAGGTACCAGACTTGCTCATTAAAATTGGAAACAAAGTGGACAAACATTCAGTGAGATGGAGCCAAGTTAAATCTTAACTTTATAATTGTTGTTATCCCAGATAAAAGTGAGGAATGGTTATTTTGTGGGACAGTCTCCAGATGAGGTACCACTTCTGGCTCTGGCACTCTTCTGTGAGACATCTCTTCTAGTCTTTTTCTGACAGCTTGAACATTTTACATGATGACATTTCAGTGTTAAATGCATTAATAATTGTTGGAGCACGAATTCTTACTGACAAATGAAAGACTACCTTGTCTTTTGCAAATAGTAAAAATGTAAAAATGTAAGCAGTCTGCTTGAACCAAAATACCACCAGCAAGCAAGTTTGAGAGAAACCCACCACAGTCATTTGTAGCTCATGATAAAAAGCCTTCAGGAAAGATATGATGCGTGACACCTACTCTCCTTGCCTTTGCCAAAACTCAAGCATTTTGGAGAATGTCCAGAAGTGAAATTTTTGGTTCTGTGAGACTTGAATATAAAACTCTACAAATATTTACAGATGTTGGAAGCAACAAGAATGTTTTTAGAACCTCTGCTTTGCTCAGTTTGCTTCTCATGTATCTGCATCCTTCTGTGGATTTGCGTCTTACCTGTGTTTATGATTACTGCAACTAACTTTACAATACACTTATGAAATAGAGAAGCAATCCCCAGAGAGGATGAAATACTTCAATCTGGCCAAGAAAACTTTGCTATTCTTATCTTATAAAATATAGACAGACAAGCTACAGAAGCAGTGTGTAGCATTTTATTATTGTTACTGCCACGCACCACCCATTCTCCCTTGCCAGAGACTGCCAGCTATTTAAGTCACAGAGACTGCTTTCTCTTATGACTGCATGTGCATAGCATAATACTTTCACCCACTACTTGGAGAATACTTGCTCTCCATCAAGGAAAGAGATCATATTTTTGTCCCCATTAGAACATGTCATGAAAGCAAACCACTGAGAAACTGTTTCAAAGCCAGTGTGGACAGGGAAAAGATTCAAAGTTTTCAGTATACACATTAATTCTTGAAACTATATACCAGTGTTAAAGTTCAAAAATTGTTAAATCTGTCAGTAAGTCCAAGCTGGAAATAGCTAATACCTCAATTTAAAAAGTTATATATCCAGCTACAGGGGTTTCACATTTTAATGACATCATGGAAAATAAAGAAACTGCATTTGTGGTAAACCTACACATCCACTTCAATCCCCTGGATGTAACCAGGAAAAATATTTTCACTTCAGGGAAATTGTGCTATGGCAGAGATTGGACTGAGCTAATGTGTTTTCTTCTGGCTTTAAAAATTTGTTAATCTTCAGACTGGGATTCAGTTTTTCACATGTGAAAAACAGAAATAATTCTGTGAAGATCAACAATGTAAATAAGATATTAATATCTAAAATATTTATTAATGTTCTGATATATAATGAACCTATAGAGTTCAGCAGAGATGATCAAGGGCTGCAGTACTTGCCCTGTGAGGATAGACAGAGGCTTCTTCAGCTTGGGAAAGAGGCAGCTTCAAAAGAACCTAATAGTAGCCTGCCTGTACCTACAAGGAGGTCACTAAGAAAGCAGAGCAGTTTGAGAGCTTATTGGGTAAACAGGCTCTTCAGAGTGATATCTGGTGGGAGGATGAGAGACAAAGTACATAAGCTGAAACGAGAAGTTCTGGATATAAGGAAAACCTTTCTTGCCCTGAGAACACTCAGCAAGTTGCCCATCTTCGGAGGTTTTCAAGACCTGAATTGACAAGCCCTTGAGCAACCTGGTCTGATCTCATGGCTGACTGCCTTGAGCAGGAAATCGGACTAGAGTACACCCTGAGGTTTCTTCCAATTGGAATTATTTGGTGGTCTCTGATTGTATGATAAAATAAACATTCAAGCAAACTTGGGGTTTTTGTAAATTAGTGATTTATATTCTTTTCAGAGTCTGGACTGACTACGAAGAAGGATTTGGAAATTTTGTTTCAAAAAATGGTGAATATTGGCTTGGAAATAAAAATCTTCATTATTTGACTAATCAAGGTAAGATTTGTATTGTAACAATAGTCTTCTCTTGTTTCTGTTTCTCTGCTCTTTCCAGGACATTTTTTGTTACCCGTTTTCTTTGCACAAATCCTGAATTCTGTTGTTAGTCTGCATGGACTTCCCCAAGTTTCAGACAAAACACATTTGAATATAAGTTTGTCTTATAATGGAAGGATCAAAACTGTCATTGGGCCACTGTCATGCAGGGAGCCCCAGCAAAACAGGAGGTGGTAGACAGGAGTATGTCTTAAAAGAATTCCCTTTACCCACTTCACAGTCAGCATCACTAACAGTCCAGAGCCAGGTAAGTATGCTGTACCAATTCATTTAGTCAGAGCTTTACACAGCTGCATAGGCTATTACATGAAGGTAACTCTGGGCCTATTGATGAGGCTAATTTTAGAAAGCTATTTCCATCTTATTAATAGCCACTCAATCTAAGGTAACTTCTGCTTTGCTGTAGGATACACCAAATACAAAACTTACATGTTAACGTAGCCAGCTAATTATATGGAAATTCGTGCCACCAGGATGCAGTCTTAGTTTAACTCTTTTATCTTAAGTGCATAAAAATCTAATTTTCTCAGGATTTTTTGTTGTCGAAACTTGAAAGTCTGTATTGGAATAATTCTAAAATGTTCTAAGCTGAATCAGGAGAATAAAGACAAAGAATTGCAAGATATGCTTTAATATGCATGAAGAAAGAAGATAAACCCCCATAAAATACACTGTGATGTGATAAGATTCATGATAGATGCCTAGTTAGTATATTAATCTTCTACTATAATCCTGTGTTCTAAGAAGTAGTGAGGTGGAATAGTTTAACCAAAATAATTTCTCTTGTTATTTCTTAAGGGAACTATACTTTAAGAATTGATCTAACTGATTTTGAAGGAGAACGGCGGTTTGCACAATATGCAAGATTCAGAGTTGCAGGTGAAGAGGTAATAAAATGCTAAGTAGTGACTAGAGGGTTTAATGAAAATGTGGACTCTGTAGATGGACAATAGACATACAGGTTTCCTAATATTCATAAAGGTTTGTGTAGAACCTTATCATATTTTCCTTCTCGCATGTGCTTGGAATTTTCAAATATATAATAACAGTGATTTACTTTGATACATCAGTTTCACACTTACTGTAAGATGTATGAATTATTTCGTTTTAGCAGCCATGGATTAAAGCAAGGTTTTCTATTTTTGTCAGTATCACCAACAATAATGGTACATCATGTTCTGATTTGTTAACATGTACTACAAATTAACACTAATACTGTTTTTTAGTATGTCATTTATGCACATAATAAATGTGCTTACCCCAGAAAGCATCTTTACAACCCTCCATTATCTAGTACACAGTGTGCAAGTGGCATGACATTTCTGAGAATAAAAATAGTAGCAAATGGAATAGATTAGTTTCCTCTTTGTGGTTTCACTCTCTGACGTGCTAAAGGTTAAAAACATATTGGCATTATTTTTTTTCCTTTCTTTTTCATATTTTATTAGTATTCTTATGAGATGAATTGTGGTGAATACTCTGGTACAGCTGGTGATTCCCTTACTGGTGGATTTCATCCTGAAGTAAAATGGTGGGCTGATCATCGAGGAATGAAATTCAGTACTAGAGACAGGGATAATGACAACTATGAAGGCAACTGTGCTGAAGAGGAAAATGCTGGCTGGTGGTTTAACAGGTATTTTGATCTTATATTAATACAGTATTGACAATTATTCTGCTTCATGTGTATTCATGCAGTAATAACATATGGTAGAAGACAGGACTGGCATTGTTTATTGTATTTGCAATCTGCCCTTGACCCGTAGCAGAAATCTCAGTGCTGGTGAGACTGAGGCTCACCTTAGAAGGACAGCACCTACCATTCAGCTCAAGCTGGTCTGCAATAACACTATTTGCCATAGGTTTTGGTCATCTTTGTTATCAGGGAGTAAGGAGAAGACAATTCTGCCCCTTTAACCATTTTGTATGCAAGTAGGTCAGATGTATCCCTGTTGTTTGCAGATGTATCCCCGTTGTACTTTTGCATTTCTCCTGTATTGCACTAGAGCAGATGTGACAGAATATCTGATGAGTTAAGCTAGTGCTGGGTTATTAAGCCTCATTTTTTCACCTCAGTTCACAGCGTCTCGCTCTTGTTATTCCTTCAGTATCAAGATGGGAATGTGTCCACTCAGTTTCTGTCAGTGAGCATGGATGAACTGAAAGGAAGATTTTTTTAAACAGTGTTCAGTAAAGGAATTTTTAAATCCTACTTACATGCAAAATACCAACTCAAAAAGAAAGGATAAACCTGGTAGCCTTAGCACTGTCTGTATAGACAGCTATGTTCTTTCCCTTAATTCATTAGATAACAATGAAGAGAAACTATGCAATCTAGCTGTGTAATACAGTGATTTAAAACACAAGTCAAGAAAGCATACTAGTCTCTCATGGTGATCTCAGTTCACTTGGCAAGAGCTGCCAGGCTGGATCAACTCTATTGTTTCTCTCTGTTGTGTCATCCTTTATTTCTGTTTTTTAATTCCTCATTTTCCAGATGCTGTTTCTGTAAGTTGTCTGTGACCATTGTAGCTGATACGATGTAGCCATTAACTCAAGGTTTCATAATTAATTGCTTATTTTAATACATTTTAATATATTTGCATGGATAAGGGGTCAGCAGAATGTTTGAGACATATGGAAAAAATCACATGTAGACAAAGGTTTTTGCAGTTCTCACAAAAGCTAAGACATAAAAGGGAAAGGCAACTGTGTTGGAGGTCCTTTTCCCATGAAATCATAACTTTTGTGGATTTAGAGGAATACGTAGACTCAAGGAGCATAAAACTCTGATACCATGCCATGGAGTTCATTAAGAGTGAATCACCAATGAGTGTTAGTCAACTGCATACTTTTTTGATATTTCAAAAACTTTTTTGTTATTGTTGTTAATGTTGGATTGGTCTGGGCAAAAGAATGACCCTTTTGCAAAAGTAACTGTATGGCAGACTTGACAGTTATTAATACCGTGTAGTTGGTGTTACATAACTGCTAAAGATAGCTGGCTCCTACTAGGCTGGTTCCTATTATGGTTGTGTAGCTCATGCTCTTAAAGTGACAGTCTATCTGGATAATGAAAATCAATCATTAGTAGTAATTGATTCCACTGCCTTGCTACAGACTTTTTTATGTTAAGCCTAGCATCAGACTGAATACTGCAAAATACTAGAAAATTTCAGTATCCTTAAATCCTCTCCAAAAGAACAAATTGGCAGAGAAAGAAAGCACTCAGAACATGTATTTGTCATACACAGATTAGCAAACCTAGAAGGAATTAGTGCTCTTGGCTGGTTTGTATAGGAGCTCCCAGCTATGAAGGAACTTCTTATAGCCAGCTCTGTGCTATCTGGACTAACAAAACACAGAAACGCCCAGATAATATGAATACCAAGGGATGTGACACAAGTGAGGCCACATGGAGATAGCTTAAGTCTTGCTCCAGCTCAGCACTTGTCATCCTGGACTTCTGCAGAAAAATGGCATTCTTTTGTAAGCAAAGCTGTAGAAGAGATTTTCAACTTGGATGCAAATCCACAGAGCTGGGTTCACTCTGGTACTACACCCAGGTGATAAGCTTTCTTGCATCCAGGGCATTGCAAAGGTCAGTAGGTTCATAAGTAGTAAAAGAAGAGCTAACAAGTCTAGTGGACATGAGCTTATTCTCTCCCCAGCATTCCCAGTTTTAGTTAGGTCATGCATGGGTGATCATGGTGGATTTGCCAGGCATCACGCTGGGACGACAGGTCTCACCAACTCAGGCTTCTTGCCTCACCAGTCATCCCGGCATAGCTACATCAGTGTGGGGCCATACTGGAGCCAATAAGTGCAGGCAGAATTCAAACAATTCTTCAGAAAACCAACTCTATCTCCCTGCGTCTGTCATACAGTTAATATGTAAGTCAGATAAAATGTTCACAGATAATTGAGAGTTGACTGTAGTTCTGAAAGTATTGCAGGGAAGTTTTTTAGTTTAAAAATAAGCTTATCAGGAAGAGAGGAGGACCACAGGTTAACCTTAAGGAGCTTATTGATTTGTGAATGACTGTTGCTTCATAATACAGTCATGTGCCAGTTGTTTCTTTCGTATGTCCAGTTACTTCAGGCAGCATCCAGTTGGTTACAGAATACCATGCCTCCCAGCACTAATTAGGAATTGTTACTGGCTCATGTTGCTGTTGACAAAATCCTGTTTTGCCTGCTTCCATCAAAGGAACTAAAAGGAGGGGTTCAATTGATCTAGATACCTCTTATCAATTACAAGGCTTCCAATGAAATTGTGGTTTGATTCATTTTGATAGAGTCCCTGCTCAGCGCTGAATTTGTACGGCTGCAAAGATTATGTCAGCTCTGATACAAGTTTGTCATTCTTAAAACCAAAGTCATTTTTTGGTATCTATCTGTGGTTTATACACTTTCAACCAACACATTATCAAAATTGAGCTTAGAAACTGTGAGCTATAAATAAGCATATATATATGAGAATTTTCCTATGAGGCTTTCATGACATTTTTATTTCAGTTCTCAAAAACCGTTGTTAATGAAGTGTAAGCAAAGGCAAAGAGACTAAGTAAGATTTGCCAGTTATAATATCCATAAGTTTAATTTGGGCTGGTTTCTCTTTGCATATTTTCTGAAGTATACTTTTGAAATCCAGCATGGTGTTCAACAGCTAGATATTAACAGCACTTACAACAAAATACTGAATTGACAGATAAACCAAGCCAATTCATTGCAGTGTGCTGCAGAAGAAACAGCTATTTTGCTCTCCATATGGTCACATGAGGATCCAAGCTTTCCTGTAGAAACCAAATGTGTATCAAGATGGTGCTGTTGCCTAATTAAGCCTTTTGGGTTTTGCTAGGGAGTTTGTGGGGTTTCATTTGTTTGTTTTACCACTTCAGTTAATAAATTGTAATGGCATTTCTTCAGTGTATTAAAGAAACCCCTTCCCCTCCCCCCAAGTATTTTGTATAGTCAAATAAAATGCTAGCTCTGATGAGCCAGTGATTTGGTATACATATGTTTAATTAGCTGACAGATTTAATCTAGTTGTATACAGAAGTCCACAGATGAATAGGCAAATTGATGGTAATATTCCGGAGTAATTGCAAAACAGAACAACAAAAAGCAGAACAGCATTTCTTTCCCAGAATTTTGTGTGGTGCATGCCCTGCTGCCACCCGTGACCTGAAAAACTCTGGACTAATTCTCCACTGAAACAGATTAGCAGGCAGAACTCGGAGAGCTAGTAATGCCACGAAACATGTGGAGAGAACAAAAAGAACTTTTGTTTCAAAGGAACTAATAAGAGCACTCGCAGTATGCCCTAATTGAACTGTTATTGTTTAGCTGCACTGAAGTCCCCAAAGGCAAATGTTTGCAGCTGCCAAACTAGGCTGTTATCAACAAAGCAAAATATTTGACTTGCACAGAAAATGCAACTTTTTGAAGGCCTTATCTCTGTTTTCCTTTACTTTCCACCAGGTGTCATTCTGCCAACTTGAACGGTTTGTACTACAAGGGTCCCTATACTGCAAAGACAGACAACGGGATCGTTTGGTACACTTGGCATGGGTGGTGGTATTCTCTGAAATCTGTTGTCATGAAGGTCAGACCAGCAGACTTTGAACCTAATATTGTTTAAGTATTTTATTAAAACGATTTATCTGGTTAATTTTTCAGCAAATCAGTCCAAATTAAAACAGACGGGCAAGTTTTTGCTTCTGATCTATGCATATATAAATCTGGAATAATTTCTCTGTAACCAGTAGTTTTAGGAGATGTAAACGAGAAGAAAATATGGCTTATGAATCTGTATACAAATACTTACACTACTGTGTGTACAGGCTTTTTTGAAAAAGGCAGACATTCACCTAGGAATAAGGACATCTTCATCAACATGGAGAATTTTTAGCTTCTGCAGTAACTAAAAATCCTTTCACCTTTAAATAAAACAGTATTGTCACAGTGTTGACTCAAAAATTAAAATGAATTGTACTTATTACAACAAAAAACTATTTAAATGTAAGTGTAAGGCTGGTTTACTCAGTAGACGGAACATACTTTCTTTAGAATGGCTCAAGGCTTTGGAAGTGAGCTGCCTGTAAATTCCTCTGATTTATTTGTTGCATGTGTTGTGTACATAGCACACATAGTAAGTATAAAGAATGAGGCAGGGAACTGAAGGAAGAGAAGGGATGCTACCAGGCTAGAATCAATTGAACCCAGTGTACAGAAGTGGATTGTCTGTTATTGCTGAGCCATTTCTAGGGCTGGTCACATCACTAAAATCTGACATTTTTAGATGGTCAGTAGTTATGTGTTTCTTCTTCTTGGTAATCACCATTATACTTTTTTTTTTTTTTTTTAATAACAAAACCCGATCTTTAAGGTATTGACATTTAGAATTTACCAAAAGGCTAAATAACAAAAGCTGCAACTAATTTTAATGGGACCTATGCTGCGAACATAACGCATGTGTAGAGGGAAGTGTATTTTATGTGCAACTAAAACCTGGCATTTTAGAGGCTCTTAGCACTTGACTCTATATAAATTTTTACTTTCTTTATGTATCTGTCAAACTGCACAACTCTCCAAATTCAGATGTCTTGTTCAGTCACTTCAAAGTGGTTCTGATTCTAGGCCTATTACCTTCTTCTTTTCCACGCTTTAGTAAATCCCTGTACCCCTGCAAGAGAGGACCAATGGAAAGCTCTACAACTGCTTATTTGGAGCCTTGTTTGATCAGTTAAACTAAATTAAATTCTGTATCTGACAGGAAGGCATACCAGCCTGTGTGTGTGTGTGTATACATATGTACTTACATACAGATATGTATGTTCAGCATTCAACATTATAACAGAACATGTGATGTGCATTCCTATCCAATTTTATTACAGAATTTAAAATGGGTTCCCATGTAACTCTATGAGCAGCAATGTAAGTATAGATCATTAATAATATGATGGAAGGTTTGGAATGGTTTAAAAAGATGTCGTTAGTACAGTATTTCCCATCATAATTTTCAATTTTTTTTTTTGCTACTTTTAAGAGAAAGATTTAATTCCTTGCAAAAACATGGGTGTCATTATGTAGAAATTGCAAAAACATCCTTAGCTTTTCACAGGAAAATGGAAAGATTAGCTCATTTATTTGTGGAGTATCAAGACACATCTTATTCCACATAATTAAAATAAAAGACATGGAGGATTTAAGTACAGCAAAGCTGGATCTCTAGCACACACACACAAAAGACTCTAACCATGTGCATATTGTGCTTGTAAAATTGCAGCAATTTTTTCCTTTGCTGCAGCATAAATCCATCCTCTACTTAGGAAAATACTAATGAAATCTTTCAGCTGAGTTAGGGTGCTTTTGTCATATTCTGACATAAAAATGGACTCCCTTTCTCTGTTGGAAATCATAAATGAGGGAGGATTAAATCTTCATTTTTACATTTTACAATGCATTTATATTCAGCCTAAAGGACTGAATGCTCTTTAGAACAAGGACTGTGATATACTAGCTGTCTAAAATGCATCCGGTATACTGCTAGCAACGTGAAAATACAGTATTCTTGCCACCTTCCTATGGCCTTTCTTTATGTAATAAATCTTTTTGGCCACATGAAAAACATGTCAAAGTGTTGTAATTCAAAATGGTCATATAATTGTTCTCAAATAAAGAAACCCCTTATTTTCAAAAGGCAAGTTTAAATAGCTACTACGCAAGACAGTAGACCTTGGAAGAGAATTCTTTAGCTGGCTTGCCTGTTCTTATTAATTTATTTCTTCAACAGGTATGAACATGTTCTAAGGTAGTCTTTATTTTTACAAGATAGCAGAACAAAGGCCAGGCGTTAGACAGAACAACATAATAACTCCCAAATAGTTGAGAATGAATACATACCATTTGATATAAATCATATAATGCAACAGGAGAAGAATCAAGACAGTAACAAGGAAAATGTTTGTCAGTCATGATTTAATAAAGAACATAATGATAGCTACCATCAACATGTAATCAGAAATACATCTTACTGTAATATCTGTTCAAGGGAAACACCTTTCTATCTTCAGTTGAATATTTCTCTTTTCTTCCATTTGCTAAACATATCAGACATTAAAAGAATGGAAACTACAAGCCTAGATGATTTAAAAGATCAGTGAAAAAGCCTTATATGCTACAGCACTTGTTTTTCCTAGAATGTCTGGTATGCACTAAGAGAGCTGAGGTACTGCAGTCTAGCCTACTGCCTTTCCAGTGCAGACTTCTCATCGGCTTATTGCCTATGTACAGCCCACCTATGCCTACCATTCCCAAAACTGTTTCTCCTGACACCAGTTCTCAAACCCCTTTTGTGAGCAGAACATTTTGTTCTGTCAAAGCTACTTCTCCCTGCTGTTAGCAAACTGATGTACCCAGAAAGGGGAATCAAACCACAGCTTGGCAGGGCTGTGGATATTCCTATCATGTTCCTTTTGTTTACTAAAGCTCAAAAAGCTCATTAGCTCCAAAATAATGAAAACGCAACTTTTGCTTCAGTGCAGGCTCTCATTAGCAGTTGTAAAAGAGGTAGAAAGAGCAAAAAAAGTGTCCAAGGAAATATTCTGTATCTAAATTTTCAAAATTTCCACTTATTTGTCTTTTTATTTTAATTGTCTATTAATAGGTCAACTTCTTAGAAAGCAAAAAAACAGAGCTGTTCAAACCCAGGAAGTACTTTGAAATGAATATGAGCATATGCTTGCTGTTTTCTCAGAGTAGGTTTGAGAACTGGGAAATCAGCAAGATTTCAAGCACTCAGACAAAATCCATATAGGTGTGTGTATGCGCAGAGAGAGGAAAGATACTATTTTCTGTTAGTTAAAGCGCTCATTCAAACAGAATGTAAAACTTCACATTGATAGTGGCTCTTTAATACTTAATTGGGGGTGGTGGTTTGTTGAATATGTAGTGTTCATCTGAAACTCATCTTTTCCAAGTACCTGAGGGCCGTCTTAGCCTTTATTTAGTGCATGATGAAATCCACCTTCTCATTGCTACATCTTCAGTTAACTAAGACTTAACCCTACCCTAACATTAAAAAGATTGCATTAGAAACATAATTTTGATTTGCAAACATTGATTAAACAACCCTTGGACCAAATGTATATGTTTGTTTGCAGAAAAAAACAAAATAAGGCCTTTGCAAAAAAAAAATCTCCGTAGCTCACTTTTTCCCATCCTTCCTCAGCAATGCATATGTATCTGTGCATAAGTTTCTTTTACTTGTCTTCTATAGAATCTAAGTTTCCTTCCTTTATTCTTTTCTTCCTTTCTTAATGACAATGAGATCTTTAGTCTTGCCTGTTAGTTGTGTTTGCATACCTGTGAATGCCTGGCTTAAGGAATCTGTGTAGCTCTGAGGTTCTGCAGAAGCTCAGCAAAGGCTCTGAGCAGAAAGGCTTCTATGTTAGTTATATCCTGCACTAGATGGTGCTCTGTACATTAATTTTTTTAGGCAATATCCCATTTGTAAACTAGTACAAACATTTCTCCTGATTAAGTTAATTATTAAATGACAGGAAACAAGTAAAAAATGTTTTAGTGAATGTAGTCCTTAACTCACATTTGAAATCATACATGGGTTCCTAAGGTTACCTAAACTCTGTGGAAATTCACAGCTTCTAATTATCCTGAGGTATGGCACATTTAAGCAGGTAAATTGTGGTCTCTTTAAAGTGCCTTGCATTACAACACTGGTTTGTAACTACTGCTGATTAGAAAACAGAAACAAAACTCTGCAAATTCCCAGCACTACCTGAAGTAACATATCTGCACTACTGTATTCCTGCTATGATTCCTTTACTGATCTTCCCTGATAGGATCTCTTTCTATTTGTCACATTGCAACTACTCTGAAATTCAAGGGAACTTTACTGGAGTGAGGCCCATCTTTGTATCATTACACAAATAACAAAGCATTTGAATGTTTTTCATGGTCAAGAAACTGAGATTTTTGTGAGCACTTGTGGCACCAGCAGGATGAAATGAAATGAATGCTTGCGGCATAGTGAATTCATTGCAGGGAGAGCCGGAAATCCCTTTCCTGCCAAGATGCCATACCCCCATCTGGGAAAAGCACCCTTCCTAGAATTGCTGGGTTATTCATGTGGTACTCAGTGAACGTAAAATTCATGCTGCGTGTAATTAATAGAAAGTCTTGCAAGTTTCCCTCTTTAGGCTAGTATCTAAGTTTGAATTATAGCTGCTTGCAAGATGTACAAACATTTTTTCTTGTGATGAAGAGGATTTTAATGACTGTAATGCTTCTCCTTTTTTTTTCTAAAACTGTCAAATGACTCATTTTAAATATCCTATGGAAGTTTTTGAAATAAGGCTAATTCAAATTATTCCAGTCCTGTGTCACTGAATCCTCTCTGCCTCTGTTATGCAGCATACTTAATTAAAGATGTCATCACAGTTCTTATCTGTTCCTCTTACTGAGACTTCCTAACAAGGGCTTAACAGCTTCTGTGTTGGTTTCACTACCCCTCTGACTGAGTACAGAAAAAAAAGAAACCAGAAATATCACATACATCTGGCAGAACACAAGTCACTCTCAACCTAAAATTTCTAAGCAAAAAGTTCTTGAGTATTGAAGGAAGGGAAGGGCCTCCTTTTTATATCTACACAACTTGAAAAAGAAGTCATTAATATTTGCAATTGATGACAATAAATTTAAATTCTATGTTATATTTCTCTTTAAGTCCCCAACATTAAACTAGTGCTCTTGAGCCTCTAAACCTGGCAGGAAAGTTTCATATATAATTGGATACCTTCCCAGCTATGTAATTCTCAACTTCCTTTTTTTTTTCTCCCCCCAAAAATGAACAAAATTAATCTCATGCAAGCCCACTGAGACCAGTAAAGTTACACTGGGAATGAGTTAGCATGTCATTTGCTCTTCAAGCAGATCATTTATATTGTATCCCTAAGAAAACAGTTTTAACAACAAATTCTATTATTCTACTTTGTCATTAATAAGGTATCAGCCATATTCACTATATAGCATTCTACAGGGAGCGTAGCCCTGTAAGTCTGTATGTGCTCTGTAATTCATCATATACTAATGATCAGCAACCTTCTCCCGTGTTACTGGAACAACAAAAATAGCTGTGCTTGTGCACACCTAGAGCTGGAAAGGGGTAGAGCTAGAAAGCAAGGAGAGGTTGCCCATGACATCTCAGACTTCGTCAATGCATGGGATAACAGGCTCTACATTCTGGCAGGGAGGTTGGAACTAGATGATCTTTAAGGCACCTTCCAATCCAAACAATTCTATGATTCCCAAAATAGGTCTCACAAAGTCTCTGTCATTTGTACACTAATTAACCCTCAGACCTAAAATTAATCAAAAATTAAGACATACTGCAACTTTTCAAGGAACACCATCACTAAAGATGAGGAAAGAATATCAGGCTGTCCAACATGGGAAGAGTTCCTGACAGAAATAGTAGGTGTTATCAAATTCACTTTTGAGGTCTTCTGGTACATCACAAAGTGACTGTAGGGAAAATACAGACTTCCTTATGGAACAGCACCACCATAATGATTTCAGCAGGTGAAATATAATGTATATGAATACTTACTTTTATTGTTTTACTTGATGGGCTGCTCCTTCCTCTAAGACAGCTTTAAAAAAATACTGAACCCTGTATCCTAGACTTTGCTCATGAAAAGCTCTTACCAGAGAATATGAAAGACTGCCTCTTTCACAAGGAAACATCATGCTGCATTATGATTCTTTATGATACCACTGAAGATGTACATATCTGTGAAGAACAGTGGAAGCTGACGTCAGGCAGCTGCCTTGTCTCTGTTGTTCATCTCCCCCCCCCCCTTTTTTTTTACCTACAGTATCTCCTTTCACTTGAATAGTGCTGGAACCAAAAATGTAAAATGAGACTCGAGAGAAGTCAGCTGCTAATAAAAGGTTCCACTGTCCTTTGTTGCTGACCCACTAATCTAAATGCAAGCAACTCTGATGTGATACCAGAGAAAGCCTTCATTGGGGCGTATTTGTGCTTACTCATTAGAAACAAAGAAGTTTCAGCAGAATGCTTCCTGGAAATGTTGTGATATAAATCTTCAGCTACAAATGCATTTCTTGGATTATTTTTAGCAAAGCCTATATTATTCTCTGAAACAAAAAGGTATTTCCATACTGTTTATTTCATAGCCTATTTTACCACGAAGGCGTCCAATCACAGTGGGAAGAGAACAAGTGACCAAAATTAAACCCCCTTCTCTGGGATATATAAATTTTGAAAGGCAAGGAAAATCTGTAACCCCTCAGAGTCATGGATCTCATTTTCTTAACATGAAGAAGAATGAAAGCCAAATGTATGCATTTTCAGTTTAAGAAGTGAAGCCTACAATTCATAGATGTAAGACTGAGGATGTTCTCCTCATCACCTCTGTTTTTCTCTGTATCACACAGCAACTCACTGAACCCTTTGATACTCTCCTCATGTATGAGAGAAACACGGTTTAACCATTTTACAGAGCACTTCAAAACCTCCTCAGGAAACATGTAATTCAGGACTACACTTACTCTGTTACTAGCCTAGACTATTAGTTCTGTCTGATCCCTGTCTATAATCCGGAATCTTCAGGTTTTTCACTTAGATAAAGCCTTACTAGCAGCATTTCCTAAACTGAATACAACATAGGAAGAGAGATTAAGGCTTTCATACACTGTCTGCATACTAGTTTAAGGCAGCAGAATGGCTCTGTTTCAGAAGTATTTTTCACAGTGATTAATTCAGTCTCTGGAAGAGACGTCCTGCACAAGTATTTTAGGGTATATTTAAACAACCAGAGTTCTCCATGAAAGATTACCTTTGCTAGTTTACACCCATGCTCTGCATTTAAAAAAAAGAAGTGCTGACTAGAGCAGAAGGCTCCACTAGACTTTAACCTTATTGTCTTCAGTTTCTGGACTGGCATGACTAATTAAGGAGGTCTGCATCTTCAACTTCCAGAGAAACAGCAACACTGAAGAGCAGGAAGTAATCAGCACTAGGCAGCACCGCCATCCATTACATCAATATTCAGAGAGACAGGATCAGTAACTCTAAACAAGAGCACTGCCTGTTATAGCCACTTTAAACACACTGCAAGCTGCTCAT